AAAAAAATTATCCTATTGGTGAAAAGGAATTATTAAGTGTTAAAGCTGCCTTTGAAAATTGGCGCCATCTATTAGAAGATACAAAACAACCTATCATAGTCTATACAGACCATAAAAATCTTGAATATCTTTATACTAATAAAACCCTTACGGCTAGACAAGTTAGATGGAACCTATTTTTTAACCGGTTTAACTTCCAATTAATATACAGACCTGGAACTAGAAATAAAAAGGCTGACGCTCTTTCTCGAATTCCTTCTAAAACTTCTATTGATGTTTATCCTCCTAACAAAATAATAGGGATCCTCTCTTCTCTTCAGGATGACTTAAGGAACTTGAATCAAAAGGATCTTGAACTTCCCAAAACACCTAATTTAACAAAAAAGGATGGTATATTTTACTTTAAAAATAGGATTTATATTCCTCCCATTCTTAGGAACAAATTACTCAAAATGGTTCATGATTCACCCCTAGCTGGACATCCTGGAATAAAGAAAACTCTTGAACTAACTTCACGATATTATTGGTGGCCTCGCCAAGATAGAACCATTGAATTATATGTCAAAACTTGTCCTATCTGTCAAAGGTCCAAATCTGAACATAATCAACCTTTTGGATTACTACTTAACTTACCTATTCCAGAAAAACCTTGGCAATCCATTTCTATGGATTTTCTTGTTGACCTTCCTCCATCCCGACAGTTCACCACTATTCTTGTTGTTGTGGACCGCTTCACTAAAATGTCCCATTTCATCTCTTTAAAAAAATTACCCTCCTCCGTAGAATTGTCCAAAGTCTTTATTGATAATATTGTAAAGCTTCATGGTCTTCCAGAAGAAATTATTTCTGATAGGGGGACACAATTTACCTCCAAATTCTGGAAAGAGATGTGTCTCTCTCTTCAAATTCAACGCAAACTCTCTTCTGCCTATCATCCCCAGACTAATGGGCAAACAGAGAGAGTTAATCAATGTTTGGAACAATATCTCCGATGTTATTGTTCATACCTGCAAGATGACTGGACCACTTGGTTACCTATGGCTGAATTTTCTTACAATAATACCATTCATTCTAGTACGAAAATGACTCCTTTTTTCTCCAACTATGGATTTCATCCGTCCTCATTTCCCATCCCATCTAATTCTTCATCCAATCCCACGGTTACTTCAAAAAATGAATTTATGTCTTCTCTATTCCTTAAATTACGGGAGAATCTTCAACTCGCCCAAAACTACCAGAAAAAGTTTTTTGACCATAAAAGAAGAATTCCCCCTCCTTATAAAGTGGGGGATCTTGTCTGGCTCTCTTCAAAAAATATTACCACAAACCGTCCTTCAAAGAAATTGAGCTCACTTTTTCTTGGTCCTTTTCAAATATCTACAATCATCAATGATAACGTTGTTAAATTAAAACTTCCTCCAAGTTTTAAACTTCATCCAGTATTCCATGTCTCTTTGCTTAAACCACACATCCCTGATCCTTTCCATAGAGAAATAGTAACAACTCCTGAACCTATCATCGTCCAAGGTGAAGAAGAATATGAAATTCATAAGATTTTGGATTCTCGTATCCACCGTGGCTCTTTACAATACCTTATCAGATGGAAAGGTTATGGAGTTGATGAAGATACCTGGGAAGATTCATCTAATGTTCATGCAAAGAGATTAGTTGATGCTTTTCACAAACGCTACCCCTCTAAACCGAAATAAGTGCACCCAGAGGATGCCCCATGAGAAGGGGGTACTGTCAGGTATACCTAACATTCATGCTGCCGCCGGAACCCACTTCCGGGTTCACGGCGCTTAGCTCCGCCCTTTTTTCTGACGCGGTCTTTCCACGATACTTAGGAAGACCGCGCCAGATTCAAAGGGCTGGATTATTCACTCAGGTGCGGCAGTAAGATCAGCTGCCTACTCGATGCTACCGGCTCCTCTTCTCAGACCTCGGCTTGTAAACGATTTCTACCTTCTCATCCCTCAGACCTCGGCTTGTAAACGGATTTCTACCTTCTCATCTCTCAGACCTCGGCTTGTAAACGGATTTCTACCTTCTCCTCTCCCAGACCTCGGCTTGTAAACGGATTTCTACCTTCTCCTCTCTCAGACCTCGGCTTGGACAAACGGACTTCCTTTCTCTCACTACTAAACTGCAGTTTGTTAAAAGAGACTCCTTCCTTTTCCTCCATTGGGTGAATTAACCCTTCCAGTGCCAGAGTGCTTCTAAGTTAAGTAAATCTCTTGTCAAGGAAAGCAAGTCATATCAATTATTATAGTATTTAATTTCTCTAAACTCTCTGTTGACAAATAAGCATTGCATTTTTTCCTTGCATGTGTATTTAAAGATACAGTCTACCTTGTTCACTTCAATAAAATAAAGGAGGTGAAACTTATTGTTTCTGCAGTTGAGTTCCAATTAAAGAGACATTACACAAAAGCATCACAACACCCCAGGTAAACAAAGGCTACTGTTACAGGAACTAAAAAATCAGGGGATTGATGTCGCCTGTATCCAGGAGACGCACTTTAAGAAGACCAGAACCCCCGAAATCTTTACCAAATTATACCCAAATCAATATCACGCTCTCTCTGTGAACAAGACCAAAGGGGCTTCCATATTAATCCACAAAGATGTGGCGTTTCAGGAACAGACGAAGTTAGTTGATACCCAAGGGAGATATGTCATACTAGTGGGACTGTGTAATAATGTCCAATATACCCTGGTCTCTGCCTATTTCCCAAACACTGGGACAGAAAAATACCTCAGATGCTTTTTACAAGAAATCGAAAAGCATAGACAGGGTGGACTGGTGTTATGCGGAGACTTTAACTTTTTCACATCTCCGGACGTTGACACGACTGCACTACCCAAAGGGTTGAGACAGACAAACATGACATCTATGTGCAAAGCATTGTCCAAACTGCGCATGCTTCACAACCTCTATGATAGTTGGAGGGTGCTACACCCGGGGGAAAGAGACTACTCCTTCCATTCGAAAGCACACAATACGTATACCCGTATAGACACCTTATATGTAGACCAACCCACACTAGCACAGGTCTCTGCCTGTTCCTTGGGCGAAATAACTTGGTCAGACCATAGCGCAGTAAATTTGGAAATGCACGACTCTTTTCGGTTTAAAGGACGAGGGAATTGGAGATTAAATGAATCACTGTTACAAGACCACACATTCACAGAACAAATGAGGACTGATCTCACTGACTACTTTCAAACAAACTCAACAGGGGAAGTGTCTGAACAGACGGTGTGGACAGCACACAAAGCCGTAGCACGAGGCCTCTTTATCAGACGCTCATCTTACCTGAAAAAACATAGACAAAAAACTCTTCTTGAGTGCCAAACACAACTAGCGGTTCTCACTGCCCAAAACAAGCAATCCCCCTCCCAAACCCTTGCAAACCAAATCCAAAACCTGACCAACCAACTACACCAGCTACAGGCAGCCAAAACCGCACAATTCCTCCATAGAATGAGGGCAAACACGTACCACCATAGCGGGAAAGCTACAAAACACTTAGCCAACCGGTTGAGAGAAAAATTAGCGGCCTCGAAAATAGCCTACTTGCAAGGCCCAGAGGGTAACAAAATACAAAACCCCCTAGATATCACGCAGGAGTTCGCAAAATACTACTCAAAACTGTACAATCTGGGAGAACACTCAGGGATGACTCCCCCAGATGAAAACGCTATCCGAGCATATCTGGCACAGCTCCCCCTCCCCAATATAGACCAAGAACAAATAGAAGCCCTACTTAGGCCAATTACCCTAAATGAAGTACTAACCACTATATAACATCTCCCCATTGGGAAATCACCAGGGGCGGATGGGTTACCCAACATATATTATAAAACATTCGCAGAAGTACTCAGCCCCAGACTTGTACAGGTGTTCCAGAAAGCCACAGAGACAGGGGTACTCCCACCTGAGATGCTCCTGGCAACAATAGTGACCTTACCCAAACCGGGGAAACCCACAGACCAATGTATGAATTTCAGGCCCATTTCACTGTTGAATACAGATGCTAAGATATATGCCAAGATTTTGCCATCTAGACTGGGCAAAATATTACCGACGCTCATAAACGACTGGGGAGACAGGGCTTGGACAACACCCGGAAGCTGTCACTTGTAATAGAGAGAATGAGGGGGTCGGGCCCAGGCAGACTGCTCTTAGCCGAAAAAGCGTTTGACCGCCTGGGTTGGACCTTCCTCCACCAAGTGTTGGAGAAGTATGGATTTCCAAACCAACTTATCACACAAATATTCGCTTTATACTCCCACCTCACTGCACAGGTACTACAAACAGCCTTTATGTCTACCCCTTTTACAATTACAAATGGTACATGACAGTGGTGTCCCCTGTCCCCCTTGCTTTATGTATTGGCCTTGGAGCCACTACTTGCAGCGATTAGGGCCCACCCAGAGATAACAGGAGTAAATTGGCATGGGCATCAGATAAAAGTAGGTGCATTCGCAGATGATATCTTGCTGTACGTCACCCACCCTGAAAAATCTCTACCCCAAATAATGCGCCTAATACATGACTACGGGAAACTGTCATATTACTCCCTCAATACCTCCAAAACGCAAGCACTGGGACTACGCCTAGACTCACAAGTCTTGGCAAGACTACACAAAGAATATCAATTTGAATGGAGGAAACACGACATAAAATATCTAGGCCTGACATTTACCAAAAACGCCACAGATATGTTCCCAACAAACTACAACAGGGTCTGGAACGAGTGTACCAAAGTACTGCGGGGCTGGGGAAGGCTATTTCTAACCAGGTCAGAGTGGATAGTAGCACTAAAAATGACCATGCTACCGAAGCTCAAATATTTATTCCGTAACCTACCCCTGCGAGTGCCGCAATCGTATTTCCAAAACGTTCAGGCTAAAATACTACAATTTTAGCCTGGGGAACAGGATGGGCATGAATCTCCCAAAAATTGTTGCCAGCCCTGACGACACAGGGAGGGATGGCATTCCCAAATGTCAAAGCATATTACCAGGCCGCAGTACTGACCTCATTACTGTCGCATCTGATTAAAGACAAGCAACCCCAATGGGTGGTGATGGAGAATAGGGCCATTAGACTCTTCCAAGTTCCAAACCTGTTGTGGTTACACAAAAAAAATAGACCCACCACCCCAACCATGCCCTCACAACTCGCACTAGCACTGCAAGTCTGGGAAACACATAGAACACACTTTGAGACGGGTTGTCCCCTCTCAATGGCAACCCCAATAGAAGCCATAACATATTGCATCCCAACATTCCACGCAACACCGTGGAAGGAAAAAGGAATCACCCACTTGTCACACGTGTGTGAAGCAGGTAAACTGATGGACTTTACAAGACTTAGAGCCATCTACGATATCCCACAAACATCGCAATACTCACACATCCCACTCAAATCCCTTTTAGGCAAACAATCTAAGGTGAGAATGCCAGACCACCGTGACCCGGTGGAAATCTCAGCCTGGGAAAAGATAAGAATATCAGGAAAAACCTCACCCAAATTCAAGCCACTTTCAGACTGTTACAAAGTACTCCAAACGTACACTCCCCTTCACAAATCACCACAGGCAGCAAATTGGCACTTGGACCTAGAAACCAAAGTTCCCGAAGGTACATGGAAACACATTATATCCTCCACGAGGAAGTTAATTAAATCAGCCCCACTACTAGAACAACACCAGAAAACATTATACAGGTGGTACATGGTTCCAACCCGCATTCATAAACAGTACCCTCACTCATCCCCACTTTGCTGGAGATGTACGCAAGAACAAGAACAAGGAACAGTTATGCACATCTGGTGGAGATGTCCTCAACTGGCTAGGTTTTGGAAAAAGGTTCACAAGCTCATAAAAAGGGCCACAAACACAGACATAAACTTTGAACCCGCGACCTTCCTATTGCTAAACTTCCCAAATGTCGCACCTGCCCATAAGATGAAACTGATATGCCATGTTCTGCTAACTGCACAAAAATTGATAGCAAGATCCTGGAAATACACTAAGGCCCCCAACATTCAGACCCTCATTCAAGAAATAGACAAACAACTGATTTACGAAACATACTTTATTAAAACGCACCCAAGACCACAACGCTTCCTGGGGACATGGGAACTATGGCACTCTTGAAGAGTGGACAACCCAGTCCACTAAGTGTGTATGTGTGTGTGTGTGTGTATATATATATATATCTATATATATATATATATATATATATATATATATATATATATATATATATAAAAAAATAGTAGCAAAGAGAGCACTCCAAAGGACTTGTTGAAATTTTTTTTATCAAAGTGCAGAAAAAATCGACGTTTCGACCCGCAGGTCTTTATCAAGATACATAACATAGTGAAGTGGTAACATTTATAACAATAAATAATTAGGGGGTAATCACTTACCCTGAGATAGGTGTGCAGCTACGGAGCCATGTGTACAAGCTGTGAATAGATGGAAGGTAGCGTGTGAGTTCCGTAACGGAGTGATGACGTCAACCACGTGCGACCAGGAAGAGGAAAGCCGAAAGCGTCCGGTTTCCATAGAAACAGGTAAGTGAACGTGTATAGTGTGAAACAGATGAATAAACAAGATAGGAAAGATCTATACAAGTAAAAAATAGAGAAAATCATAGCCATGGTGTGTCTTAAAACGGACATATATAAAATAGAGATAGGAGGTCCAGTAAAACACAGCCACTACGTACCACAGTAGTGAGACCGTGAAACAGAGTGAACTCTTTGTTCACTCTGTTTCACGGTCTCACTACTGTGGTACGTAGTGGCTGTGTTTTACTGGACCTCCTATCTCTATTTTATATATGTATATTTTATATTTATATACTCTTTGTTCACTCTGTTTCACGGTCTCACTACTGTGGTACGTAGTGGCTGTGTTTTACTGGACCTCCTATCTCTATTTTATATATGTCCGTTTTAAGACACACCATGGCTATGATTTTCTCTATTTTTACTTGTATAGATCTTTCCTATCTTGTTTATTCATCTGTTTCACACTATACACATTCACTTACCTGTTTCTATGGAAACCGGACGCTTTCGGCTTTCCTCTTCCTGGTCGCACGTGGTTGACGTCATCACTCCGTTACGGAACTCACACGCTACCTTCCATCTATTCACAGCTTGTACACATGGCTCCGTAGCTGCACACCTATCTCAGGGTAAGTGATTACCCCCTAATTATTTATTGTTATAAATGTTACCACTTCACTATGTTATGTATCTTGATAAAGACCTGCGGGTCGAAACGTCGATTTTTTCTGCACTTTGATAAAAAAAATTTCAACAAGTCCTTTGGAGTGCTCTCTTTGCTACTATTTTTCTATTTATTTATGCTCTGCAGCACCGAGGCTTTTTCTGGGATTATTATTCTTAAAGGTAGAGTGCCGGATTTTGTACATATTTATATATATATCTATATATATATATAGATATATATATATATGTGTGTGTGTATATATATATATATATATATTTATGAACAAAAAGATAGATAGCACTCCACGGTCTCAGAAGTCAGGAGTCCCTGGTGGTGCTGTCCCATGCTGCAGTCCCTGGTGGTCCTAGTGGTGAGTGAACTCTACTCTGCAGTTCCTGGGGTAGAGTTCACTCTCGCGAGATCTGAGCGTTGCCGTGGTAACCGTGGCAAAGCTCCGACCTCGCGAGGGGAACCCAGCAGAGCTGCACGGTAGAGCTCCACCGGTTCCTCCTCCTTCCTCCCCAGCCAGCGGCAGCGTTACAGTGCCTGTGGGCCGGTGAGGGAGATCTTTGAAGATGTTCCTGTAAACACTGCCTTTTCTCTGACTGACTTTAAGCTGTAGTTGTTTTGGTGACTGTAGTGTCCCTTTAATGAAGTAGTTTTGGTATATAGATCATGTTTAGTCTCACTGCTCAATTCTCTGCCATTTAGGAATTACATGGTTTATGCAGCCATTGCCTTCCATGGTAGTGACTCACACGCCCTACCTACACACTTCCTGAAAAAAGCTTACATTTTTTAGCTTCCCTTATTGTACAGTGTGTTTAAGTTCTTATCTCCTGCAATGTCAATTATTTGTTAGGGCCTGCAACATCATATTGTTTGTAATTAAAATTCAGTATAAAGAACAGCAGATAAGAACTTATAAAATAAATACACAGCTGTAGAAATAAAACATTTTTTTTTTCACGGAGGCTGAGTGAGTCATAGCCAAGGCAGATGTGGCAAGGGCTACATAAACAAAGTGAATTATCTCCTAAATGGCCACAATGTCCCATATTATTCTTTTTCAATGTTTTATAAAGTGCTAACACATTCCACAGCACTTTACAATAATGAATTTGGGATATAAAACAACAAGTACTTACATACAAAGTAACAGTGACAGAGACAAGATGTGAAGAGTGTCCTGCTTAGTCAAGCTCACACTTATACCTTGCCAGATTTTTGTATAACTTTGACATAACTCTTTGTTTGTTTTGCAGATATGGTATTTGATGATTTCACACCATCTGTGTCACCACTGACAAGCATCACACATTTAACCCCTTAAGGATCAAACTTCTGGAATAAAAGGGAATCATGACATGTCACACATGTCATGTGTCCTTAAGGGGTTAAAGGGACACTATAGTCACCAGAACAACTACAGCTTATTGAATTTGTCCTGGTGAGTAGAATAATTACCTTCAGGCTTTTTGCTGTAAACACGGTCTTTTCAGAGAAAATGCAGTGTTTACATTACAGCCTAGTGATAACTTCACTGGACACTCCTCAGATAGCTGTTAGAGATCCTTCCTGGGTCATGGCTGCCTAAAATGCATCCAAACATTCAGTGTCTCCACCCTCAGCATGCAGACACTGAACTTTCCTCATAGAGATGCATTGATTCAATTCATCTCTATGAGGAGATGCTGATTGGCCAGAGCTGTGTTTGAATCATGCTGGCTCTGCCCCTGATCTGCCTCTTTGTCAGTCTCAGCCAATCCTATGGGGAAGCACTGTGATTGGATCAGGCTACCACTTCTGATGATGTCAGCAGACTGCTTGTTTTTTATTTTTTAGGCAAACAGCATGCAGATCTACAGCTTCAGGCTTGAATACAGTAAGATTTTGCTATATTTATGGAGGCATGAGGAGCCTGGGGGTGGGAGTAGATGGTTGTTTTAACACTATAGGGTCAGGAATACATGTTTGTGTTCCTGACCATATAGTGATCCTTTAAGCTATTTCTAATGCAAGCTAACCAAAACTATTATCAACAACTTTTAGATAACCATAACCTTAGCTAATCCTAGGCGTAGATAACTCAATAACTCAAGCTTATCCTAACCCTAAGAAGATGGAGTAATACCTCTGAGACTCAACACCGTTGCCTAGGTTGGCAACTAACCCTATATGTTGGTTGTTATGAAAAGGTTATCAGATGATTAATTATACTGAAAAAACGTGATACTAGACTGGCTAGTGCCACTGGGTGAACTCTTTTGAAAAAGTATATTTTTACTGCATGTCTTTAATACTAAAAAATATAGCAAAGGCAGATTTAGACAAGGATCTAGTCAACTGAAAAGCAATACACCTTCAATAGGTGGAGTGGCAGAGCCAGGAACAAATTGAGTTCAGAGACATAAGAAGTCCGAGTAGATGAATGAAAAAAGGCAAGGTTCACATGAGCTATTATTTTCCATAAAATTGTAAATGTTTCCTATACTTGTAAAAGCCACTGTAAACCAATCTGAAAATAATGAAATGTATGGTTTGAGTAGATGGGCTACAATGACTAAATACTATAATTTCACATTATGTCTATCAAATACAATCTCTGAAATTAGGAAATATTCAGTTGTTCATACAAATAAATGTTTCCATATTTTTTTATTTTTTTTTAATTTATCTCTACTGTATTGTAGAAACGATTGCTGAATTAACAGGGTCCAAAATTCCTAGCGATTTTCTTTTCTTTTAATCTCGTTACATACTTACCAACATGTGAGGACTTTTTAAGGTGCAACTCCCTCTTCTAATTGTGTACAGCTTACCTTCAACCAGAAAAGAGGGACTCTGGTATGGATTGTTTGAACCACCTTCTACATTCAACTAAAAACGCCAGAAACCTACCACTTCTATCATTATATTTTATTAATCTAATGTATATCTGCTTCTAAAAATTATATCCCGTTATTTAATTTGAAATGAAAATGTTGGTGTAGTTTTTACAGTAAGATTGTTAATAGATAATCTCCATGGTCAGAGAAAATAGATGATCTTCCACCTGCTGTTTATGGGGTTATTTTTAGAGCTATCTGTCTGCTTGTTAAGTTCATCTTTCATAATTGGTTTATCTTAGCTGGGTCTGTTTTTGCTCCTATGTCTATTAGAGACAACAGACATGCACGAAGATGGCTTGTAAATTCAAGTTATGCTTTTCTGTTTGTGCACATTATACATCTTGCCTGTGAGAGATTTAATCCATTTTATTAATAAATCAAAAATATGCAATGTTAAGTGGGTGTGAAAATTATGGCAAGAGGTTCCTACCAAAATCATCATCGTGGTTTTATTATTCTTTTGTATTAATTTGATAAATTGTAAGTTAACACAATTTCATACAGAATACTATACAAACATAATATATCAATATTTATGTTTTGTTCCAGTATGTCTAATTATTTCTCTCTGTCTGTTTCCCAAGCTGTGCATAATTGCTATATTTTGTAAAACACTGGATAATGTAATACATAAGAACTGTTTTAATAATGTTTCATTTTTTTGGATACCGGTGCTGGGAGACAGTTGGCGTGAAACCTGATATAGCTGAAGTGCCCATTTGAAGTGTACATATAAGCCTTAACATTTGAACAATATGGAAATGCTCCAAAAAATGTGAGTGGTATTCTTGGTGGATGTTTGTGGAAGGTATATTATTTAGAAGTGAAATCATTAGATGTGTTTTACGTGTTTCCTTTTGGTCTTTATCTTATCAATAAATTGCAATCTTTAATTTTAGATTTCAATATTGTTAAATGGGTTAGGCAGTGGCTGAGTGACAGGCAACAGAGGGTTGTAGTCAATGAAGTAGATTGGAAGCAAGGTCTAGTTACCAGTGGGGTACCTCAGGGATCTGAACT